ACTATCTAGATATAATTATCTCTTAATGTCTTGTTTAACTCATGAAGAAGTATAATTTTAATCGAGTGCAGCGCTGCAAAGAAACTATACTATAAATCTCTGATTCGAAAATAGTGTAATGCATTTATGCATGCGCGTATACAGGATGTAAATTCTGAAATATAGTAAATTGTGAAATAATCTTCATATTATTCTCGCTATAAAAGATTTCCGCGCGATTGCTGTCGAAGAATTATGCACTGGTAGACAGCGCATTCCAATGACCGGGCAATTCCGCGAGGATGATCAATATTTCCTGAATGAAATTCCGAAAACGTCTTTCTTCGCTCTCTCAACTTTTTGCGGATTAATTAATGTAAATTAATTAATGAGTCTATACCCAAGTAGAACCACAAGTCATTATGATATCAAAGTGATGTCAAAATGACTCCAAAATGATCATTAAAAGTCATTTTTCAATCATTTTCGATTTATTTTAAGGGGTATAGACAGGGTAAAATTTTGAAAAAATCGATTTTTTAATTTTGTAATATTTTAAAAGATATACATATCGAGAATACATATGCCAAGGTTTAAAAAGATATTCGGAAAATTGACGGAGGTACAGCAATTTTCGTGGAACAGTTTTTGTACGACGATACGCTAGAACTGCTTCTGGCACCGACGAAGAAGCGTTTTTAGATACGGAAGAGATAGTATATAGTCCAGGGATTGCCGAATAAGAGTAACTTATAAATTTTTTAATTTAAATTTGTGCAGTTAACATATATGTAATAATCTGAAAGTAAAACTTCAAGCGCGTTTTTCTCAAAACCATGTTTTTCAATCTGGTTGACAGCAAATTAAAAAATCTACTCGACACCAATTGACTTGGTGCAAATTGCATTTTATTCAGAAAACTTACTTCTATCGCCGAACGTAACCGTTTTTTAATTAATAAAAATTTCACAATTTTATTCAACTTTTTTGTAACAAAAAAGGCCCAAATTAAAAAAAAAAGATTTACATGTCCGCCATTTTGTTACTTTTTACGATTTTGTAATTTCCCTACGTCCGGCTATAGCTATGTTCATTTTTTACTATCATAACTTTTTATTTTTTTGTTTCAAACAGCATATATAGTCGATTCATTGTCAACAAGGCAAAAGTAACTGTTCAAGGTTACCCTTTGTACAGCAGCCTTAATTCTAAGTAACCGAGACAAAAATATTTTTTTAACGTACTTTAGTACTGATAGAATAAAGACACCATAAAACAAAATTATCTGACTTTATTATATATAAAAAAAAAAAATTTCAAAGAAACCTCGATTCTTCAGTGTCTACACTTCTTAATGCTATTTTAATCGTGACTTGTTGTTCTGCTTGGGTATGTATTCTTTTCTGTTTACTACGATTAATTTTGTAAAACGAATCATACGTCCTATTTGCGTCATGTATATCCTATTTGCGTTGTATTTTTATTCTTTGATCTCACGCAACATACAATATTTATTACTAGAGGAAAGTTTTCGGTATTTATTATACCAGTAATTGCATAGTTAAATAATTAGGATTTTCATAGTTATGATTATTATAATGTTAGTAATATACACATTATATATAAAAATATGTTACATATAAAATATTTTTATTATTTACAAAAAGAATTACATTATTACTAATATAACTAATAAAACTAAGTTTTATAGTTCTATTATTACTCTCAAAAACGATTATAAAATTATAATAGTTTTGCAGGACAACCGTATATTTTTTTTTTATATATAAAACTGTAAATACAATTATTATTATTACTAACATTATATTAGGTGTTAAACTTAATTCCTATCGCTCGCTACTAGAGGGCTCTACCTCCAACGCTGACGAGTTTCGACGATGAAGTCACATGTCTTTTGTAGTTTAGACTGGTTAGACATCGCTGAAAGTGCATTCCAATTTCCAAGTGAGCTGTGATCGGCTTCGGACGTGTTATTGCGTCATCATTTTTGGAAAGTGTGACCGGCTTCAAACGCGCAATTGAATTTGTTACTCTTTTAGACTTTTGTTACTCACCGCATAAGCGGCATTTTCGATTCTGGCCGTATCGACACTGTGTTAGAGTCGGGGCCATTCTCACAAGAAGAAGAAGAAGAATCGCTGAAAGTGATTCAATCCTCACAGGTTAGATTTCTCGACGCCAAAGAGATTTTCCAATCGATTGAAAATGAATCGCGATAAGCTGTTTTTCCCGGTTTTTCCGACATGTGTGCTTCTTCACTACTTCGACCTCAAGAAAATCGCAGCTGAAGCGCATCGCTTATTATCCGAAGTGTATGGTGATGAAACTCCATTGGAAAGAACATGTAGAGTTTGGTTTGAACGCTTCCGAAACGGTGATTTCGATGTGAGAGACAAAGAACGTCCAGGACAGTCGAAAAAATTTGAAGATGTCGAGCTGCAAGAATTGCTTGATGAGAATCCAGCTCAAACGCTTTTAGAGTTGTCGAAACAGTTAAATGTTACTCCAAAGGTCGATTGAGTGACGAATTGATGCAAAAAAGATCATCCGTAGCCAACAATCGACGCAAAGTCCTTTTGTTGCATGATAACACTCGACCGCATGTCGCGAAAAGCGTGAAGCAGGCACTTCTAGAGCTTGAGTGGGAAGTTCTCCCGCATCCAGCGTACTCTCCAGACATGGCACCGTCGGATTACCATCTCTTCAGATCGATGCAACACGCACTTACGGACACACATTTCTCCAGTTACAACGAAGTCCAAAAATGGGTGGATGAATGGATCGCCTCGAAAGACACCGCGTTCTACCGTCGTGAGATTGTTTTGTTGCCGGAGAGATGGGAAAAAGTAGTAGAAAATGGAAGAAATTACTTTGATTAAGGTATTCATTCATCTTCCCTTCGAAACAAATCGATTTTCGAGACGAAAAAACGATAGAAATTAAGTTTAACACCTAATACTATCACTACAATAATAGACGTTTTCGATGCCAATCATATATTTTTCTTGATATATTTCTTCCATATAATTATTTTACCATACAATTCTAATCACAAATACTAAAATTTTTTTTTCAGCGATATGCATTCGGCGAAAGTATATTTTTATGAAAATATATATTATAAATGTGCGAAATATGGCCGTCACGCTGCGTGTGGATGACGAGGCTCGTACATTACGCACATGAGAAAAACACGACGTAACAAAAACATGGAAGATAAAGTCTTGACTTTCATTAGCCCACAAAACGAATGGCCTCGAGTAACTCTTAACCGTGAGTACCGCAGGGCCCCGGGTTGTTTAATCAAGGATTAAAGCGATGTTATGTCGCCTGTTACAATTTCTCTCTCCTGCAGCTTTTTTTACTCGAGAGAACCCGAGATGATCCGGGCTAAAAATGCTCGCGGCGATCCACACTAATTAAACCTCTCTGTATTTATTTACACAGTCGCAATTGCGACTGATTAATTTTTTATTTATTTCTAATCGCAATCTCGATTTTCTGCATGATCCTACTTCAAATTGTTAATTAGAAAATCTTAATCCTAATTCAATTAAGAGAAAGAATTCTATTTTCGGTCAAATAGATATTGCTGCTCCTCAAGTAGAAGTCGCAATAATATACTAAAAAAATTTCTAACTGAAAATGAACAATCAGAAAATTCTGACCATGTTAATCAGAATTATGATTATCTCAACTAGAATTGTATTAAATTCTCAATCAGAAAATTCTGATTTCTTCATTTTCGATCGGAATTCCAATTAATCTAACCAGACTCTTCTACCAGAAAATCTTGTCAATCAGAATTCTTTTTTATTATCCCAGATCGACTGGTCTGATGTACTAGAGATTCCGGGTTCGATCCCAGGCAGAACCGAGAAATTTTCATATACTCGTAGCTCCTCTCGGAAGGCAATGGCAAACCACCGAGTAGTATACTTGCCCAGAAAACCTCCCTATCAAAAATTGCCGTTCGAAATCGGCGTTTAAATTGTAGATTCCTATATATACGTTGTATACGATCAGTGTGCACGTAAAGATATATGAGAGGGAGGCCTATGCGCTGTGATAGCGTATGGCACTTGAAGAAGAAGATAGATAGACTAGAATTATAACAGATTCAACCAGAAAATTCGAATTGGTCTATTTTCAAGAATTCCAACCAGACTCTTTTTCCAGCATTATAAGGACATCATTATGATTTTAGTAGTTTATTTAAAAGATTAGTAAATAGAAATATTAATCAAATTTGCTAAATAAGTAGCATGGAAGATTACACAAGGTCTCATGCGTCATCTACAATACGCAGAGTAAACTTGGTGTAAGAAGTAAGAGTAACAAATTGACCAATTACAATCGATTATTCGTCTCACATTCGACCGTGACTGGTCAATTTCTTACTTCTTACAGTTCTTACATTAAGCTTACTCCGCATATTACAGACAACGCATTATTGTGAAAAACAATCTTTATAAAATGTCTTGTGTTTAATTTTATTTTTCACGCTCCTTATTTAGCAAATTTGATTTATACATAAAGTCGTTTTCATTGCATAAAAATATTAAGGACAGCAAAATACTTTTTGCACAAAGGCGCAGTATACGTCAATGGCAGCCCTGGAAGGCGGGGTTCGCGCCCCGAAGGATCGGAAAACATTCCTCGGGTCATCCAGTTCGAGAAAATAAGTGACGAAAAGGGTCCATCGAAATTTTCAGTATGGTATCTGAATTTTCTCAAACAGAAAAAATTATCAGAATGACGTCAAAACGCTCCAAAATGCTGATTAAAAATTACTTTTCGATCAGTCACGATTCGTTTTGATATTATTTTGATGTTTATAATGTGACTTGTCGTTCTACTTGGATTAATTCTCTCACGGATAGGATTTCCACACCCCATCTGTCTTTTACTTGTTGCTGCTACTGATGATGCTGTTGCTGTTGCCGCCGCCGCCGCCACCAACAGCGATGAGTTCCATGCGCGATTCTATCGATCCATCCTTCGTCGGCCTATATAAAAGCAGCCGCCATTGACGGTTCTCCAGGTCGTGAAAGAGCAGGTCGGGATTTGCATGCACACCCGGAGCATCGTCGTCGACAACGTTACGACGTAGAAGAGAAGAAAAGAGAGAAAAAGGGAAGAACTGTTCATTAGCCTGTTTATCCTGAGGGGTGTCACGTGGATGAGAGATTAAATTAATCAGGTACATCGCGCCTCTCCGCATTTCATTACGTATTAAAAATTCCGTTAATTAAGTTAAGTTAGTTTTGTTTCCTACGCCGTGTTGATTAGAATCCCACCATTCACATAATCAATTTGGTCTCTGCTTTGATTCCGCGACTTGCTTCTCATCCAGTTGCGACATATCTCAAGTAAAAAAACACAGAAAACACAATAATATTATGAAGACATTATCATGATCATATTTGTCATTTACATAAGTTGTTTTTTAAGTATCTAATGATGAGTCATGATTACGTCCTGTGGTATTATTACAATTTTATGATGACCCTACTGTCCCAAAGAATACATAGAAGTCAACAAAAAAAAGTAAAATGACTTAATTTTTATTCTTAATGTTAATAAACAGTCAAATTTTGTAACAACAAAAATCATCATTTTGACTTTCATGACATCAAAATAAAGTCATTTTGAGTTTCTCTTGACTTGGTGTGTAATTCTTGGGACCCAAGCAGAACAAGTTATTATAATACCAAAATGATGTCAAAATAACTCCAAAATGATCATTAAAAGTCATTTTTTAATAATTTTCGATTCATTTTAATATCATTTTAATGATTAGTTGTTGTTCTACTTGGGGTTCTACCTGAAATCCCAAGCAAAACATGTTACTATAACAACAAAATGACGTTAAAATAAATAATCGAGAAGTAATTTTTAATAATCATTTTAAAGCCATTTTGATGTCATAATAATTTTTTTATCTACTTGGAACGTTTTGCGACAATCCACTAGATTTTTAATTATAATGATAACGTAAATTATTGTGTTCTTTAATTGTAAATATCATCTGCGACACGTAGCCGTGTGTAGAATCGTCCTGTCGATCGCACTCAGACCGACACGTCATAATTCACTCCGATCCCGGAACCGGATCTTGGATTCGTTCGCGAGTTAATTTACAAAGTAAGGTGTCAACAATCGAGGTCGTTGTTCGCCGATTGCAAAACGTACGCTGATGGCAAATACGCGCGGTCGCGATAAGCACGCGAAATTCAATCGGGTTTCACGCTACAAGTCCGTACCATCTGGTAATCTGATTCCCCTGTATAACATTTAAGACGCTAGTTTTCATCAACGCAATAAAAACATCGCTCTTGCAAATTTGAGAAATTTGCCACCGTTACGATTTATGTTATAATTTATATGTTTATTTTTTTACGAAATGTTTCTTTATGTTTATCGATCCTGAAGGAAAGGACGTAGTTTACTGCGCAATGTAATTTGTATTCAATTTATGCCCCATTTATCGTCTTATTACAATATTCTTATTTAACTCATTTTATTTAATTTTATTCTGAGTTTTATAATTACAAGATATATGAGAACTCTTTTACAATTTCCTTTCTTCCTTTTTAATCACTTTTTATAATCTAACCGTTACTTTCTGGTTAATTCTCTAGTTCAATTTTAAATTCAATGAGTTTTGATATTAAGTTCGACGAGTTTTTTTATGAATATCGGATTTTCACGAAGGGCTATTTTCCGATCTCTGGACTTGTCTTGACATTACGTCATAGATTTCCTCGATACGTCTTCATCCACGCGAAGGACTTCGTTACCCTATTAACAAAATCGATATTAGCTCGGTACACAGTATGCAAAATAGACGTCAATATATCTATATATATTTATTACGATATAAAATACAAGTACACGTCTGACGGCATCGAACGCAAAATCGAATCGAGGAGCTTTTTTTACTCACTCTAACAGCGAATTTGATTGGACGCATTCAATGCGCACTGATGTATGTTACACATTAAAGCCATCGTACACAAATTGACGTAAATATATGTGTTTATTATAAACATAGAAATCGGTTAAGCAGTGAAATACTCAATACATTTCATTGTGCTGTTAGATAAAATATGTAATACCATGATTCGAAATCCATGGTGTTGAATCCACACCCTACGTTGGTATTTATATTAATACCAACATGATGGGAATTATATTTAAAATACTTATGATGATAAATCCACATCCATATTTTTTTAGGATGTTTAGATAGTATAGAAAAAAATACTTAATAATTCGAAATATTTGCATTTCACTTTTACATTCAGGATAAATCAGTGTACAACGGCTTTAATATGCATCAGTGCGCACTAGTGCGTTTAATAAAAATCTCATGACACCACTCGAGTGGGTCGGACGTGTGTTTCGTCTCGTTTCGGGTGTTACGTCACCTCGATTATATTTTTGAAAAGCGTGGCCGGCTTCAACTATGCATTTGCATTGCACAATTCAATAGTCCCTTCATTCGTCTGGACGCGCGTCGTAGTTGCAGGCGCCCAGTGTCTGAAGGGACGCTTTGCCATTTTCGTTTTGATTGCATCATTCTCTTGTTAGGCCTGCCCAGTTCGAGGTGGCCGGTGCATTTCCAAGCAGAACAAGTCATTACGATATCGAAACGATATCAAAATGACTCCAAAATGATCATAAAAAGTCATTTTTCAATCATTTCCGATTCATTTTAATGTTATTTTGACATTATCGTGATTTGTTCTGCTCGAGTTGCATCTCCATTACACGAACTCCAATTTCGAAGATCATCATGATGGTCCAATATCAGCCGATTAGGCTGCGGGACCAACAAAACGGGAAGAAGAAGTGCGTCCAATCAAATTCGCCATAAGAAATATGGGTGTGATTTGGTACCATGCGGAACCCATATGTTCATAACTCCCATGACTCATCGCGTTGGTGTTGATATAAACATAATGTGAATTTATACGTATAATACCATGATTAACTTTTCCAATGTTTCTTTCGCGCATTTAAACACAATTACGTTTCTGCTGACTAGCACAATGGCATTGCCACGGTGGATCCTGCCGCTGCTGATCCTGGGAACCGGCGCGATCACGCTGGTTCCCGCGGCTCGGCAATTCCATGATGAGCTCCTCAGGAACAATCTGCGGAAGCAGAAAAGATCTCTGGACGAGACGGATTCGCCGGAGTATTACAATGACCTGCACTCATTTAAGTACCATGACGGCAACAACATGCGAAAGTTCGACCGCTATTACGACGGGGACACTGAGGAGATCGAGTTCCTACCTGGCGGTAAGATTTTGAGGAACAACTTCTTTTTTAGACTCCGAGAAGGAGCGAGGAAGAATAAATTTTCGGTACACGTTTATAAATTTCGTATTAGATCTTTGTATCGTATATCATATTGGATTTTTCTGCCGTGTTGTATATCGTATTGAATATGTATTGTAAAAAGAAAACCTACTATAAAAGAGTATTTATGCAGGTCGCAACTGTTTAACTTATGCCGTAACCGGTAAGTTCAATACAATGATTTACGTGCTACCACTTGTCGTAAAAGTTAAATTTGAGTTAACTTTACGCTTATGGCATAAGTTATATTCATCCGGTAATTACGAACAAAAGCATTGAAATCATTGTACTAAACTTAACTGGTTATGACATAAGTTAATATTTACGGCTTGCATAAATGCTCCTTAACAATTCTCATAAAAAACAGATGAGCTTTATGAATTAAAAACAAATTATTGGTTACATCAAAATAAATTTTTGGGGGATATAAAGAGATATTCTCGTACTAGTACTGACCAATTAATCACTTATTTTGAGTATTATTAAGTATTGTTAATAGTACTTTCAATACTGAAAATAAGTGATTAATTAACTAGTATTATTAAATTTTTATAAGGGTTGATCGATCGATTAGTTAAATTAAATTATCTTCTACACCAATCTGAAAAAGTGGTTTCGAAAAAAAATGTTTAAAATTTTTGAAGAATTTTCATGATACTTGTAGTTGAAATATCCAACATTGAACATTTAATCTCTCAAATAGAATAACAAAGACACGATACTTGATGACTTGTTGTTCTACTTGGGCTGCTATTCCTGAACTATACAGTGTGCCTTCTCCTCCCTCGAAAAGGTCTTGTTAAATTGTTTTCCCCAAAGTTGATTTCTTTGATCTGTTACAGTAAGTAGTTTCCCCCTTAATTGCCAATTATTTTTATCGTAGTTTCAGACAACGGTCAGTTGGAAACAGTGGGGGAGGGTCTCCAGGGCATGAACAACAAGCTACTCGAAAGAGCACTGCTCGATTATCTGGAGACTCTACCTGAGCAGGTGAACTAATCAATTCGTTGGCTGAGTGTTCCACCTTCGAATAAATTATGTAATTTAGTTAATGGATAAAAGAGAGCGAGAGCGAGAGCGAGAGCGAGAGCGAGAGCGAGAGCGAGAGCGAGAGCGAGAGCGAGAGCGAGAGCGAGAGCGAGAAGAGAGAGAGAGTGAAAGACCGAGTTGTAAATTGAGATCTATCGATAACCCAACCTCAATGAAAATAGACAATAATAGAGATAGATAGTCATTCCGTTTTTTAGTCAAAACAGATTAATTTCTAAGATTAAATATAAATTTGATATTAATTTTACTCAGCTTGACCCAGTAGAAAATATTTTGCTTGCTTGCAGAAAATTCGATAAAACAAAGATTAGCAGTATATGCAATAAGTTTTTTTTTAATTTCGTATTAGTAATTAGATCTTTGTATTGTATATCTCTCATATTGGATTTTTTTTTATCTAAATGCTTATAGCTTTTATTATAAATTTATATATAATTAGTAAATAAATAACAAATATATATGAAGAATTTATATAATTTATAGATATTTATATAGATATTAAATTACGCAATTATATGTATGTTTATATTGAATAATATAAACGTAATAATTTCTCGTTGAAATCATAATAAAATCCATTGAAAAAAATCAAAATTGATTAAAGTCTCTTCTACTAAAAAAAGAGAGGGAACTTCATTTTGCTGACTGTAATATTCATCCCTTCTACATAAAAATCGAGAGCAAAAACCTTTTAAACAATCAAAATTGAATGAGGTACCATAGAGATCCCCGATGAATGGCATCGAGCATCGCGATAATGATTACTTACAGGAAGAACCGGTTGCCTCGATTTTCCGCGAACGCGAGCGAAGTGGTAGCCGTAAACGGGGTGGCGCCGGAGAACGTATGAACCTGGACGACAAGGATCCGACGAAGCTATTCGTGGAGGAACTGCAGGACGGTTCTCCGTACGGTGCGCTCGTGGAAGTGGATGACGACGATTATCTAACCGCTTTACAATCGCTTTATGACAGATACAGAGCTGGTAGAGGGAACAAAGTATACGAGTGAGTTCGATCCTTTAATTCCTTTGACCTTTACCATTAAAGATCGCAACGATAATGTAAAGAGCGAGCTTTAGAGTTCTATCGATTTATGCATATATTAATGATATAAATTATAGATAAGTTGATTTAAGCTCGATGGTGCGTTGTTGAAATATTCATTTAATACCGGTCTTCAAATTTACTGTACGCGATCATATCTCTTGGGTCAATCTAATTAAATAGCTTTAAAATATAAAAAAATTAAATTTTTTCATAAAAAAGATTTTACATTAATAAACAAAGTCGTCAAATATTAGAGAAAAAAGTTTTAAATAAAATATTAGAAGAAAATAACTGCATTTTGAGTCGAATAGGAAAGAAAGACTAGGATTAATAGCAGCTACCCAACAACACAAAATCCAAAATCGGGACTAAAAACGTCTCATATCCCGATTTTATGTTGTATGAGTAATTTAAAAAAATGTTCCAATATGTTTCTTGCTTACTGGAAGATTCTCAGTAAACAAGAAACATATTGGAACATTCCAGCAACCGTTGCTTATTTATATCACTCAAATATTTTTTTCTCTAATAAAATATAATGGATTTTTTTGTACAATATAATATTTTTCGTGCAATACCATTTTTGTCCTGAAAATGGGGCATGCGGACGATTATTAATGGAGTGAAAAAGGAACTTAAGAACATAACGTTTTCTCGATAGAACGACAGGACCAATGTCTTGGGGCGAGCTGCTTAGCAAAGACCCGTTGCTGAGAAGCCAGACGAAGAACGGCAACGACGACGAATTCGTGGATCGCGATCAGGATCAGGATATCCTGTACTTGCCGGCGGAACGTAGAAATGGTCCCCGTTTAGGCCGTGAATTCGGCAGTTATCGTAAACTGACCAAACGCTATCCGGTCGCTAAGAGAAGCCCCAGGCCGACCCAAACCAGATTAAAGTCCACGGATCCCAAGGTAACGCAAACAACGCCGCGTCGCTGTTGGGAGATAATGGGATAATTGCTCTGTCATCTGCTATCAATCCTTTCGTATTGATTTCGCGGAGCGCTTTTTACGAAATTACAAAGAATCGAACAATGTCGACGTGGACATACACGGAAAGAACGATTTTGCAGAAGTATCTAAAAATTTAGCCAGATACAAATCAATAAATAATTTTGTTGAGCCGTCAAAATAATTAAAAATTTAGCTATGTACGAATTTCAAAATGATTTTGTTGGACCGTCAAAATAATAAAAAATTTAACTAGGTACAGATCTAGATACAGAATATTTATGTAGGATGCTCAAGTATAATGAGCAATGCTGCAAAAAGTTTTCATATTCAAGCAACCAGCTTCTGGTTCCTCCATTCTTGTTTCAAGGTTGCTCAAGACCTGGGAGCCTTATTCGGCACGCAATTCACGGACTCGCACAATTACACTCATAAATCCGATCACGATCACGACCACGATCACGAACGCAAGCAGGAATTTAACCAGAGTCACAATCACGAATACAAGCACGAACCCAATCAGAATCACGATCACGAACACGAGCACGGTAGTCACGAAGGCAAGTCAGAAGCGCCGTTGAAAGTGACGCCGGCTCCGAAGGGTCAGAAGGAAAACACTACGAAGACGGCCAAATCGAAATTCGTCCAAGTGAGGAAGAAGAGTGTCGATTGGTCGCAATATTTCGGCATCGATCGAAGGAAGAAGAAGGCCACCTTCACGGCCGGACAAGGCACGCAGAATCAGGACGACGAGTGGATGCTGCAACGCTACTATGAGGTAGATCGTAATTGTTAAAATTTTCTTGTTGGATGCATTACACAGTGGCGGCGATAAAAGGAAATAGATATTTATCATTCATCTGCTCTATTTATATTAATAAATAATAATATAACTTTAACTATAAGTATAAAGCACCAATTTATTGTATTTTCTCGGAAAAGGCGGTAATAAAATTCAAAAGAAAACTAGCAAAATGTTACAACTGTTATCAAAATAAACAGTATTTTTCAATAAATCTATTTTTTTGTTAAAACGTTTATGTCAATTTTTGAAAATGTTTTATACTTTAACAGAATATGGCCGAAAATTTGAAGTCAAAGGACGACGAGAATGAGCGGAAGGATAAACTTGAGCAGATGGACTCTAAATTGAAATACATTAAAGACCTAATTATTGAAGAAGCTATGAGGTACGCCGCTTCGGAAGATGAAGCAGATCTGCAAAAGGTAATTTTTCTACTGGCACTTCTGCATATAAGCTTTATTCGAATTATAAATAAAATTATTTCGAAATACTATACAACTAAAATTTTCGGAAAATGTAATTTGCCTAAACTATCCAATTTTAAATTACTATTTCGTCGATTAAGAAATAATTAAAAAAATTAAACGTGGTTAGAAATTAATTATTAAAGAGATAAAAATGTAATCTGTAAAAATGTTGTGTGACAGGTGAAGGATAAGTTAATGTCACGAATGGCAACGGCTTATTCGTTGCAGAAGATGCGAAAAGCACTGAGCGAGCTTCGAAATAATGTCGCAGCTCAGAAAGAGGCACAGAGGATGCAGAAAGAGGCGCACAGTAATTTTACGTCTAATTTTCGGGAAAATAGCAACAGCAACACTAATCCAAGTACTAACAGCGGCACCGACAGTAAAACCAACGAGAAACGAAACAATATCAATAACAATTTAGAGGAAAGCGAGTGTGAGTATATTCAAAAGAGAGTTAGGAATCACGAAAAAAATTACAAAAATTATACAGAGTACCTAGATTCTCCAGAATTTGGGAATCAGCATTTATATTGAATTTCTTAATAAAAATGTATATATTTTTTATTAATTAGATTTCTAAATCAGAGTTTTCCTAATTTAGCTTTATAATTGATTCGAATGCATAATTTCTTCCATATAATTTTTAGGTTTTTTCTAATCTTGTGATTTTATTTGGAGATTTTATTGAAGATTATTGATTTCATTGGAGATTCTATAGCATTGTTTAATAAACAAAACAAAATAAAATCCACTTGAAGTTAAATCAAAAGTAGCATTTTATTGTTCTTAGAATTAACTTTCATTTAACTTTTAAATAAAATCTTATCGATTTCTCACTTTTATCAGGAAAAGATTAGTCCTAAAGAATTTATTTGCAAACCAGAGAAATAGCTCAATAAATCTGGGATAATCTGTACAAATCCAATAAATCGAGTTAAATATATTAGGTGTTGAACTTAATTCCTGCCGTTTTTCGTCTCCAAAATTGATTTGTTTCGAAGGGAAATACCTTAATCAAAGTATTATTAATAAAGTA